TTAACGTGCACGACTTGGGAAACATGGTCTGGGATTTTCAAACAACTCGCTGCTTACGGAATACCGTACCCGCTGTCGTTCTGTGCTGGTGGTTGTTGCAGTCCTCGGCGTGTAGTGCTTCACCTCACTTCCGTGGAGTGCCTTTGATCCTGTCAAAATAATGGCTGGATCTCGTAGACTGAATTAGCGCAGCAAAGAGAAACTCCAAGCAAAGTTAATGTTCTCTCAGTTAAGGAAACAGCTTGTTGTGACCAATCTGCAGTAGTTGAGGACTATTCAGTACTATGCAAGAAGCTTCTTTACCAAAATTCAGACCTTTTTCCTTGTCAGATCCAGCCAACACTGGGTGCGTGGGGATTTCTCTGCCCCAGTCCTTTTGAAATCTCCCCTCCTGTGTACTGATCCACCTTTTTTCACATGCTAGAACTTCATCAAGATATACCTGTTGCTCAGTGTTTGAGCCTCCTTCACATCTTGTGTCCTTACATCCTCCCTTGCCCGCCCAGCATTTGCACGTAAGGGTCCGGGGGCTGATGTTCAGTGGCAGAGGGCACTTGCGTTGAAAGCTGCTTGTCCTTCTGAAGAACAGCTGCAGGAATTAAAAAAAACGTGGGAGAGACTGGCTCAGAAGCTATAAATTTGCAGAAAAACCTGTGAGCAGTCCAAGCCTAAAGCCAGACAGCTTGTGAGACTTTCTCACCACTGTTTATGGTCCTGCAGGCTTTTAAGGTTCGCTTGGTCAGTGATTTCCCCGAGTAGGAAGCTGAGTTTACCACCTCTCTCCCGAAGGCTCAAGTCAGGGTGGTGCTGTGTGGTCATTGCCCTGGGTCTCTGCCATACCAGTTCTTGACATTTAAGATACAAAGATTAAGCTCTCGCTCTTACTGAATTTAATTCTTGACATCAGCATTTCTATTTGTGCTCTCTGCTGACGGGTGAGTGAATGTTCTGCCCCTACCGGGTCGCTGAAGTTGTTCTAGAACAAGAAGGGAGGAATATCCACAGCTCGGGGGGGAGTTGGGATCCAACTCCTGGGCGCTCGGGGCTACTCCTCTCCCTCAGACAGAAGGCAGTGCAACATTTTACAAGTTGCATTTTCCATAGGTGGATTCTCAGAGCGGGTGCTAATTCCTGTAAGGTTGTCTTGCCCTCGCTGTCAATTGCTTAGCACTGTGGTTCCTCACGGTGTCAACCAAGAGGCTCCATGAACTCTTCTACTCCTCTGCCTTTTCTTCCACAGCCAAAACCTCATCTTCCAGTGTTTTCATGGTCGGATAGTCTAAGTTTACACCTGCGAGTGTGGACTTTGTTTAGCACAGGAAAATGCTGTTTACGTGCCCTGGCTTGACTTTGCATCCTTCCGTCCCATACAAGAAATGTTCAACTTTGCATTAATTCCCAGTGTGTGTAACGGTCCCAGACTATTCTTTGTCAAAATATACAAAGATTAAAGCTCCAGTTTGTTGAATGGATTTGTAAACCTTAGGAAGTGTGTGCTTTCAGCAGCTGGATGTCTTTTTTTAAACAACCGTGTTCTTGATATGAGAGTGACTGGATGATCTCTAAGGTCTTTTCCAACCTAGTGATTCTATGATTCTATGAAAATATACAAAGATTAAAGCTCCAGTTTGTTGAATGGATTTGTAAACCTTAGGAAGTGTGTGCTTTCAGCAGCTGGATGTCTTTTTTTAAACAACCGTGTTCTTGATATGAGAGTGTTTTTATTTCCCCCTTTTGCACGATCAGGTTTTGTGACTCTGCCAAGCTGTATCTTGGAGTGCCATCATCTACGTGAAACTGGTACTGAAAGGAGATGGGAAGGGATGGGAGTGAAAATCTATCCAGAGCCACCATGAATTCACCACCTCTAGTTGAATACTGATGCCACTTTCCCTTCCTCCCTCTGTACTGATTGATTGATTCTGAGCTATTTAGGCTTTGACTTCTAGAGGAATCAAGCTCTCAACTGCATTTGAAGATAGTGAGCAGGAGCTGCAACATTCGATAACCAAAACCCATCCTTTAAATAAATGCTTTGTATTGGTTTAGTCATGATGGGTCCTGTTTTTTCGGAGGCATTGAGAAGGGTGTTACAGCTTAAATCCATAGCACGTCAATAGAGTCATTGCAGCTGGGGCTTCCCTAGATGCTTGGAGTGTGACTTTACATCTCAATGCTGAAGGAACTTCTTTAAAATGTTGTTATAATGAAAGAATGTTAGCTAACATCAGTAGATCGGGTTTAGTGATTTGTCATGGATGATCAAGACTAAGGGTTTTATCCAGATCCCACTAGATCCAATGGAGAAAGGTCACTTCTGGCTTAAATGTACTTCGAGCTGATCCCAGAATTTTTGGAGGAAAGATGTCTGTTTGTCGTGGTTTGTAAGCTAAGGAAGGCAAGACTCTCATATTTAGGCTATGGACTATTTCAGAATCTTTACGGTGCATCGTGGACCCATTGCTTCATTCTGGTTTTAATCCATTTGATAAGCCTGATTCAACTACACTACTTTAAAAAACCCCAGCTATTTAAGAAAAACAGTGTTTTGGCAGGTCAGCGAGATGTTTCTTTCTTCGGGGTAGGCACAGATCAAACAGGAATGTGCCTTCTCACGCCGTATGTATTCTGAGTTCCAGGACTGGCTTCTAACACATGCAGGAACCGCAGGGTAATACTGAATTGTTGCTTTTTCAAATAGATCATGCAGATTATTCGAACCGATAACATTTGGTGGTTTCCGAATCTGAGCTTTAGGTATGCGCAGTTTTACATCTAATAATGCAGGACTGGGAAAAGCTGGTAACTGGGGTTTGTTGACCATTTTTTAAAGCAACCACAGATGGAAAACAAACCTAAAGAAATGTGGTTGAAAGCTCCTTGCTCAGAGGTTAGGAAATGTCAGAATAAATCCAGTCTGAACGTGTTTGATTTGACCATCTTGTGTGTGTGCCCAGCCTGCCGTTACACGGGCACGGTGCCGTTTTGGCACCGCACCTCACGTTCGTCCCCTGCCCTAGCGTGTCCCAGTTCCATGAGGCTGTCTTAATAAGCTGGTTGAGGTTTTGTGTTATCTCGTCGGCCACTTCTGAATACCGTCCTTTGTGAAGAGTTTACAAAACTAAAAGTGAAGTTCTAAACCACAGACTCAGCTGCTTCTCTGAGATCAGCCTCAGGTGAAAAAATACACATCACTGTCACCCTCCTGGCTTTCAGCCAGGCAGGAGCCTCCTGTGCTGACTTAGTTTCATGGTCATTTTGAAGCAAAGGTAACGACCACAGCAGAAAAATCAAACCCAACCAAACAAAACCCCACAACTGAGAGGAGGTGTAAGGCTCGTGGCGGAGGATTTCGGCAGCGCTGCTGAGATGGACCCGCACGTGTTACGCTGGTAATAGCTGCTTCGGTGATTTCAAGAAACCCCTGCAGCTGCCAGTGATGTACATGTACACTGATATTTTGTTTTAATCAAACAGTTCTTTTGATTTCCTTAATTACTTTGGTACGTGGCTCAGAGCATTTTGCCTTCACTGATGTAGATCGAAATCTTCCCCCTCCCCCCCCCCCGATCTGGGACGCGTGTATCAGCTGTAATCAATCCATTTGTGGTGAAAATCCTCCGGGCTTGTGTCAGCGAGCGGTGTAGATGTGTCCCGGGGCAGCTGGGGACGGTGGCGCTGTGCTCCCGAGCAGCGGAGCGGCGGAAGGGGCAAGGCCGCAGCGCGGGCTACGCAAGGGGGGGGGAAAAAAAAGAGAGGAACGAGTGCTGGCTCCATCAGAGCGTTGGCTTGGGGGCCTTTGAGTTTTCTTTCCACTCAACACGCGCCGTGTGTGCTGGGAAAGGATGGCAGGGCAGCAGCGATGAGACATGTCGTATCTAACAGTGGTTTCAAAACAGGCAGGTGCTTTGTTCTGCCCCAGCAGCTCTTTCCGGCGCCCGCTGCAGGAAGGCGACGCTCGGCAGGGCTCGCGCGCAGCCGACCTCGCCGCCTTTTGTTGCCAGCGCTGGGGAAAGCCTCCTCTTGCACTCCTGTGTCAAACTGGTGCGGGAACTTCACAACCGTAGCGGTTTCGGAGGGTGTATTTGTCTGAGAAGGGGTTGTCCGAGACCTGCGTGTCTAATTGAGAATCACCGCCCATCCACCCCGAGCCACTTCGCAGTTCTGGGGAAGCCGGTTCTGCTCCGAGACCGGTGTTTGCTGGTGACGTTGGAGAGAGGAGCAGGTTTTGCACAGTGAGGCGTCCCATCCTGCCCGGATCCCAGCTGAAGCGCTGTAGCAGGACGTTCACCTATTTTTTCAGGGGGCAATAAAAAAAAAAGAAAGCAAGCAGAACAATGCAAAGGGAAAGCACCAGCGAGAGAACAGTATGTTCTTTGTTATGCTTTTTCTTTGGGGACATCTATTGCTGGCAATGAGATTAAATCACTGAAACCTTCCCTGAAGCTACATCTGCCACTGCCTACATTTTCCAGCCTCAGTAATAAACTAACATTTGCCATTGTTCGTTTCTTCTGGATTTCATTTCTTACAGATTTAACCAGCGCTATTTACCACAAGGCATTCAGTTCTTGCTTAAAGCAGAGATCTATGCCAAGTCCCTAAAAATATTCATAGCTCCAAAGAATCTGGTTTTAAATAATATCATAAAAAGTAGACGATATTAATACAGCGGTTCACGCTGAGTTCACGTCCTGCCGATGCCAATGTATAAAAGTGATGGGAGCCTTAAGAAGCTCTAGGCAAGACTACCCTGAAGTGGTGAACAAAATCCTTTTTACCTTTTCACTGGCTATCAGTGTTTTGATTATGGCAGTAATTTCTATTATCCCAAAATATTAAAAAAAATATATAAACCTGTGTTACGGTCTTGCTTATCCTGACCTGGAGGAGTGCTGTGCCTTTTCCCTGGGGAGCGGTGGGCTCATGGGGTGGGTGGTGGCTGCCAGTTTCCGGGGTGTTTGGGAGGGAGGATTCACGCCACCCCCTTGTTCCCGCAGGAGGCCATAGTGATCCATGAAGTTTATGAAGAAGGGGCAGCAGCCCGAGATGGCAGGCTTTGGGCCGGCGATCAAATTCTGGAGGTAAATGAGTCTCTCCATGTATGTTCTCGCTCATATCTTTGTCCTCTGTACTTGAGTTCAGTGCAGGGGAGGGGAGGGAGAGGTCGTTGAGCAGGATCTGTGCTTGAAGCTTCTTTTCTGTCACTAAGAACATCCTGACAAATTCATATTTCCTTATATATTCCTATAAACTGAAGGTACAAATTGAGACTGTATTAAATTTAATTGAGCAAGGCAGTTCTCAAATTACATAGTTCAGCTGTCATGTCCAATAGCTCAGTATTATTCATCTGTTTAATCTTTCATTCGGAGGCCTGACGCTCCGGAATCCCTGCGCTGCCTGCAAACGAAGCGCTGAGCTGGGGAACGTGGGGCGAGGGTGCCACAGCATCCCTGTGGGCATCCCTGCTGCACATCCCGCCCGTGGCGATGCCGGGGGGCTCCTGGCTCCCCCAGGCCACAGCTCATTAACCGGTGAACACGCAGCAGTAAACGTAGCGTCATTCCCACCGACGAGTGTGGAAGTCCAGGAGGGAAGGGGTTAAGAAAGAAGTGTTGCTCTGCAGACCAAGGCAGGGGTTCAGCGCAGCTGCTTGCAGCGTCTCTCTGTCAGACCAGGACAAATTCCCAGCATGGCCATTAAGGCTTTGGTGTGTAGGGTTAGAAAAATAGCGAGGGGTACCTGGGGAGTTGTCTTTACAGCTCTTGCACTGAAAATATTTTTTTAGCGTTAAGGCTGAATGTTGTTTTGGTTTTATAAATACCTGTGTATTAACAGAGCACAATAATTAGGGGATAAAAATGGGGAAGGCTAATTAATTCTTCTCTGGCCAAACAGGAAAGTGCTAATGTTTGTGTGCCATAACATTGTTATTATTTCAGCTTTTAAAAGCTGTACTAATGAATCAAAAAGACAGCTCTGAACTAGTTTCGGATTGGTATGACAGAGCACACGGAGATGCCTGTGTCGAGAAAAGAGTATAATATAAAAACAAATGTGTGCAGAATTAGTGCAAAGGAATATAATTACTACAGATTAGGCTTAATTATCTTAATGTAAAATTAGTTATGATTATAACTTTGCATGTCTAGAAATACTGAGAAATATTTTCATTGCCTTAAAATTTATTATGTTACATAAGTGGATTAACGTCAGATTGTTATTCAGTTACAGTTCATGCTACTTCCTAAAGAGATTTAAAAAATATCCAAACATCGATATTTTTGGGGATTGACAAACTCAAGATGATTTCAACAAAATATCGACAAACCCCTTAAAAGGGCATCGGTGGATCAGGCTTGGCAAAACTCGGAGATTAGGTTTCAAGTTGCAATAGGGGTTTTCTTAATACTTCAGCATTCAATCAGAACTTCTTGTTCTGTCTGGTGTTTCTAAAACGCTAAACCATTTTCAGGTTCTGGTAAGAGAAATGTAATCGAGGGCTCCAGGAGCGGTCTTGTGTGCCATCTATTGGAACAAAGCAAAATAACCACTTAATATGTCCTGCCTGGACTTCCCCGTTTCCATTTGCCGATGTTTCCGATCCCTCGGCTGTGTTGTGAAGCCAGGGAAGAAGGAATCTGAGCAGTAAGAGATTCGGGAAGCTCAAAGGAGCACATCCCACTTTGTCTAGTTGTAAGAAAGAAGCACTGTTTGAGGTTCCAGCATGTAAAAAGCGGGGAAGAACACCCACAACTTAGAAGGCAAAGTGTTTTGGTTATTGTGATTTACTCCAGGCAGTGGCACGAAGCACCGAACTCGCGCTCAGTGGGAGATCTGGGAGCTCGGCCCTCTGGAAATGGGAACACTAAATTAGAGTGCCAAGGGGTGTCAATTTGATGAATCTGTCCTGTCACACAGGGGTAGGGTGTGATGAAAAGATCATTTATACATGTCGTTTGGAAAGAAAACACTGATTATTTCAGGTGAACGGGATCGATCTGCGGAACGCCAGCCATGAAGAAGCTATCACTGCGCTGAGACAGACGCCCCAGAAGGTGCAGTTGGTTGTTTATAGAGACGAAGCGCATTACAAAGATGAAGAAAACTTAGAGGTTTTCTACGTAGATATACAAAAGAAAACGGGCCGAGGCCTAGGGCTCAGCATAGCTGGAAAACGGTAAGAGCGTCTCCCTGATCAGAGGGTGCTTCAGATGAGAAACAGCTTGCTTTTTGCCGTATGAACAACTGTAGCCATTAAAATGGAATATGAAATGAAGGGGAAAGCTCTGCAAGGAACCAAATTTTGTATCTCAGCATCTCTGAGGCTGCCATGGGGCTGAGGGCCCGGCTGCTCGACGACACAGGGTGCTGCTGCCCAGGAGGGCTCCCGTCCCGCGCTGGGTGAGGGTGCCAGCTGGGTGCGTGCACGCCGGGCGGTCACTCTTCCCCTGGCTCCAGCCGAGCTGTGTCTCGGGGCTTGCAAACCCAGCCATGGCGTTCCTGATTTAGAATGGGGAGTGAAACCTGATTTCCAAGGACCAGGATGTGGCTTTGAAAAGGGATTTGTGAGTTAGATCTAGCTCCTGCTGGGGTTCAGAGGGCGCGGTGTCAGCGGAAGGTACGAGGCGGTTAGACCCCAGTCCTGGACAGTATCAGGGTGACTGTACAGCACTGAAGGCAGCAGTTCTGTGAGTGCAGAGTGGAGCTGGGGATACGGTGGTAGGTAACGGCTGCCTAATAAAATGTGACTTTTTACTGATATATTTCTAAACCATTGCTATTAGATCATTTGAACCAGAGCACGGATAGGTTTAATCCTTCATTACCAGATGAGATTTACAGCATGACACTCCTTCCGTGTTGGTGCGTGAGTTGTACGGTTGCTCTCCTGCACTGCCAAAATAAGTGTACTTTCTGAGTTACAAATCATCCTGTCATTATCCCGACCGCCTACGGTCGGTGAAGGTTCCACAGCAGTTTTTCACGAGAGCGGCGATGCTGAACCCAGGTGTGTGAGCAGATTGTGGGTTGGGTAGTTCATACAGTTTATGTAAATTACGCTGCAGACGGTCATCGCCGTCGCCAGCCCTTCCCGCGTTTGCTGCCGTGCAAAGCTTCCTGCGCTGTTGAAGTGCTTCGCACGTGGGGATTTCCACCTTAGGGGTAGCCCAGGTTTTGAAGCCGATTAAGTGACAGGCTGGCGCAATTCCGGTTGTGAAGCGTTGCGTCCTTCAGGGTGGGCACCCAACACCGAATCTTGGCATTGCAGCCACCACCAGCTCACACCATCGTGAGCCTCGGGAGCTGGGGCCAGCGCAGAGGGGTCCTGTGGCCCCTGGGAGGGGACAGGCCTGCGAGGGGGCTGGAGCCGATAAATAAGTACGTTTCCCCCATCTGCGTGGTGAACCTGGCTGCAGGCAGGCAGCCACGAAGCTGGATTTTCTGCCCAGGAACTCGCACACAGATGATCAGTCTCCTCTGCAGAGTCTCCCTGCTCTTCTGCTGGGGGTCTGCAGGCTTCTGGAAGAGAAACGGAGCTGAACCCTTAGGGGTTGTAGAAAAAAGATGTATCTGAGGCTGCGTAATTCATATCAGGCACATCAGGAGGTGGTTGAACCCTGTCTTAGACCAATCCTCATCTTTTTATTCATACAAGTGGTATTTTTCATGAATCTTTATGGATCATACAGTCAGAACTGTGTGTTCAAGGGGAAAGACAGCATTAAATATAGCAAAACACGCCTTGGTTTTAGAACTCGTCGATTTTTTTACGCTCAGATGGTTGAATGGGGTGTAAAACTACTTTTTCCTCTGCTCACAGGTTTCTTTTAATGTCTCTTAAATGCGCGTAATCTAAATTGGTCTCCCAAAGAATATTGGGTTGTGTAATTAGCCATATGCTTCTTGCATTGTCAGAAATGGAAGTGGAGTGTTTATCTCTGACATTGTTAAAGGAGGAGCTGCAGACCTAGATGGAAGATTAATTCAAGGAGATCAGATTTTGTCTGTAAATGGAGAGGATATGAGAAATGCCTCACAAGAGACTGTTGCCACTATACTTAAGGTGAGTACATAATACATTTTAAGATATTGAACGGCAGTTACTGACACTGTGCAAGGTAATTATCCTGAAGTGCTGCTTGCACGTCCGCAGGACAGCTCAAACTGATTACCAAGGCAGGAATTTTGTCTGAAACAACTTCAGGAGATTCATTTAAAGTCACTTCTCCATGTGTATTTAGGTATGAAGTGGGAAAACAAAGACACTTGTGGGATTGAGGCATTTATTTGAAAATACAACTGTGTATTTCATACGTTAGAAAAATATTTGGAAACCTGAGAGTCACACAAGTCAACTGAAATCAAATGCCTTTGGCCTCGCTGTACTTACCTGCAGCTGTAAAACAGCAGCTGAAATCCGTTCCTGCACAGCCTTCCACCTTACAGGGGTGATTTTATGCTCTGAAGCTGTGCAGGCTGGGGGAATTTACCTTTTTTCCCTTCGAAAGCACGTGGCTGCTTGAAGCAGAGGCGAGGGCAGGGGATCCCGGAGCCTGTGCTGAGGATGGACAGGCGGGTGGGAGTGATGCTGCAGACCCATTTCTATTCAAAAGTGCATCTGGAGACAGGGCTTTTTCCCTGCCATCACCTCTAGTGTTTCTGCGTGTGATTCCTTTCGTTCTCGAAGGGAAGGGCTTCGGTTCAAAGCAATTTCCTTCCTTTTTCCATTCGGGTGGAATTTGGCTGGCCAAAAGTTTACCTATTTAAGAACTGGAAATTGGTGACGTGGGGACGTATTACTAAGTTGAATCCATGTGTGTTAAATTCACCCCTTTTCTGCAGCATTTTTCTTCTGAAGTGGGGTTTTTTCATAAGTGTTAGTTGTGGCAAACCTCTGATAAAGAGCTGGGGGCTTTTTGTTTATTTTTATTGTGTAACTGGCCATCTACTGTTTGCCAGTAGGAAGATTCATACTGACTTTGGCAACCAGGATAACTCTTCAGGATAAACCTAAACCCAGGGACGATGGGTACTTTTGTGTTGCCTAAATACTAATGTTACTGTTTTGAGCATTCCTTCTAGTTTTCTTCATGGAGTTGTGATGCGAATATAAACCTAATTCTCCCCAGGGGAGCGTGAAATATTTTGTCTGCTTAAATTCTGCACATTGTGGTTTTTTTCGCAGTGTGCCCAAGGCCTAGTACATCTTGAGCTTGGGAGATTGCGAGCTGGATCATGGCTGTCATCACGGAAAACATCCCAAAACAGTCAGGTTAGTGACAAATTCACACGTGTCTAATGGAGCTGTGAAGGGCCGGGCACGGGGACGGCGCACGGGCGTGCACGTGGGGCTCGGTCCTTCCGGAGGCGCTCGCTGCTGAGCATGGGGAATGACATATTTCACCTCCATAATTGTCTGCGCTGAACC